TGTTGCCACTTGGTGGCGCTATAATCATGTAAAAGAAATACATATATGAACTTTTATTTATTTTCTTACAAATTTTCTGGCAAACTAGAACATATACTTTATAACACAATTGTAACACCAACTACTAATATTTTTTTAATTTCCCTCACTATTTTTTGATGCTGTCCTTTTCTAAGCCTAAGCGTAAGATGTTAAAATTATTTTCAGCTAAGGTCTTACCAGGCTTATATCAAAAAGGCTTTGCCTAACCCCTACCCTAACGCGTCCGCCCAAGTGCGACGATGGTCAGTCAGTGTGTTTTTTTGTTATACTTACTGTGAAATTATAAATTATTATTATTTTTTAATTAGCCACGGGCGGGTACACTAAACAGCAAGCAGCTACTTTGTGCAATTGGCAGCGGCTAAGGTCACTGCGATTAACCAACTGGCCAACTTGTGGGCCAAACAGCCACGCAGTCAGAGCCATGTACTCACAGGCGAGGTACACACACTGACACACACACATGTACACACTTTGTCTATAAGGCTGTGCCGTCCAATTAAACAGCTGTGTGGGGCTCCAAGCAATGTGACTCACTGATAGCCCCTCCCTCTCCCTCACGCACACAGCTAAGCTGTCATCGCGGACACAGTGCTGTCAGCTGTCGCTGAGTCGAATGTTATAAACTGCTAAAAATAGCTAAAAATAGCTGAATTCGCTTTCTAAGCACAATGTTTGGCAAGAAACTACCTTCTTTATAACTTGATTGTTGTTGGAGCAATGCAGCCAACGTTTACCTTGTTTCTTTGTATTTTGCAGCCCCGTATGCGTTTAAGTCAAACAGATTTGCGTTAATACTAGATTTGAATTATTTTTATTTGATTTGTGTTCGTTGAACAATAATAAATGAGTTAAAACAAACGCGATAACTTTATAACTATATTAAATCTATTGGGTAACTTAATAATTTATAATAGCTAAATATTAAAAGAAAAGCTTTATCAATTTGGAAACAACCGGAACTGCAAGATTTTACCTTCTGCCGACTGACAATGTCTGAAAATGTCAAAATTTAGCGGGAAAGTCGCTGAGTTGGCAACACTGTTGCGGACAAAGGCATCGCGTGCTGCTGCTGGCTGCGTGTGAGAGCGAGTTAACAGATTAGCTAATGCCATCTCCCTTGCGCCGCTGGCCTGCAGTCGCCTTCTCCTTTGGCCATGCGACAACGTTTTTTGATTGTAACAAGTGGCCGGCGCGGGTTTAGTTTTAGTTTTAGTTTTTGATTCAGTTTCAGTCGGATCGGAGTTCATTAGCGGTCGACAAAACAGAAACATTTTTAATATTCGTGTTTAGCAACGATTCAATTAATTGAAGAACTGTCGTCTTGTTTTTATGTTTACTGTAATTGTTATAATTTGGTGTTCGATTTACAACAAAAATTTATTCAAGTGCCGTTTGTTGTAATTAGAATTAAGCGTGTTGCTTTGAAAGTTTTGTTAAAATGGGTAATTCCAGTTCCATTTGTGCCGATCGCAATGCCATAAGGAATTTTGATGAAAATGGGTAAGAAACAGAATGCAGCAAAAGAAAAGCAAATAAAAATGCATAACGAGAGCAGTTTGGAAAAAGTGCAAGAAACAAAAGCTTTGAAGTATTTAATTTACCAAGACTTTTTCAATGTGCAAAATATATGAATAATGAATAATGTACGAATACCAAAAAAAAAAAAAAAAAACTCGTAATTCGGTTAATTTTAATGTTTTATAAAAAAGGACAGAAGGCATATAAAATATATCAAATTATATTTAATGGATGCCAAATAATTTTAAAAAAACTTATCCATTGTTTAAATATTTAAAAGACAGTTTAAATATGTATGTTTGAAGCAAATATTTTCTTGAAAGTTTTGTTTAACTGCAACTTTAACAAAAAGTATCACTGCTTTATTGGCATATGAGGTGCTTAGTTATGCTGTGGAATGTTCTCGAATTTATCACAGCACAGCACTTCCTAGCTATATATTTATCCACAAGCTGATGCGTATGTAGTTAAATTTATATATTATATAGAAAGAAGGATAGGTAGATACAAAGCCATGTAAGCCTCGATAGACGAGCTGTCGACATGACCTAGTCATTCAAGCATTGAACAAAGAGGATACGCGTACTCGGGCTAATTAATAATTAATGCACCCATGTAGCAAATAGTCGCTTCAAGAAGTAATTTAATTAAACTTAACTAGCTTATTTACAAAATAATATACTATAACCAGAAAGTGAGCGGGTAGTATGTACAGTTCATTTATGAACCTGCTGGTTCAATTCTCAAACCTCGCCACTTGTTCACTGCAATAACCTGTTGAGAATTATAAAAGCATGAAATCATCCAAAAAGTTACTTAAGATTCCTTATGATTTAGTTAGCACTAGAATACACTGCTACAAATTAAGACTCAGTGCACACTAGCTGCAAATAGTATTCACACATACTTAGCACATTGTATTGATATCTAACGATGTGCATAGATATCAAAAATATAAATCCTGCCACTTAATGGCCACATATACTACAATTATAGATAGTAGACCCTTCCCCTGGCACTTAGCCTGCCACAAAACACAAACACGCCGCACAGAGGCAATGTCATGGGCAAGACCACGCCCATTCTGGTTGGCGGTCCTGTCGACACAACTTGTAATTAACTTTTAACGATGCGATTTACCAGCGTTTTATTAGCGATTTACGCGCGTTTCACTGACCCTACAGATACACCTACACACACAGACACACACGAGTCGACCCCATATGTAATTTGACAGGGGCTGTGGGAGTGGCCAGGCATTGATATAATTAATGTCGCTGCGTTACAAATATATTGAAGCACGAAATATACTAAGGTTGTTACAGAAAACAATCACAACAACAATCTGACGTCGCCAACTCGTAAAATCCCCAATAATAAATTTAAAAAACAAAAAAAAACTCAACAAAAATTAACCTATTAATATTTATGAGGGTTAGACGCTTGTGTAAAATGTTGCCAGTAATTGTCCGGCCGCTGTTTTACTTTCAATTTTGTGGACCAGCTTTTGGCATTGGTTAACTACTAGGCGAGACTCAGGTCCAAATGTACGTAGAAGATAGTATTATTTTGTCACGAAATTTGTTACGCATCGATAGAGGATATGCGAGGTCAATATTGGCACGACACTGAGTCTCTTGATTTTAGACCTATCTAGATAAAACTTGCCCTGCCTATGCCTAGCTATCATTCTTGTTTGATGTTCTTTCCATTTTTATTAATATTCTTTTATTTTGTTGTTTTTTAACTTAACTTGATTTAATTTGGCAATTTTTAGGTTAATTATGCCGCTAACATTTGAGCCAAAATTAATCAATGTTCGAATACTTCAGTTAAATTTTTACTAAGTGACAGCTTTACTTAGCAAACACTTTTTTAGCTCAAGTGCTTAGCTTCAACAAGTTTTTTGAACATTTTCGAGAAGACATTAAAAGTTAAATTTTGTTGTCTAGGCAAAATGAACTGATCATTGTAATCTACTAAAATCTGCTTAAGGCGCCATTATGTGGTATACAGTTTAATAATTTCGAAAGTGAAAGAAACAACTTTTTGACATTTTTGAACTAATTTATAAATAGAATATCATAATATCCTTTGCATAATTCAACATTTTTAAAATTATGAATGAATATTTGTTTTCCTGTGCGCCTGTTATATTTGGGAATCTCTCTTAAGTGGACTGCAAACGTAGGTCTTCGCTGAAGACAGTTTACACAGTATCTTAAGTAGTTCCCACAGAAACAATTATTCAAACAAGTAAAAGGTTCTACTCGCGAGCTCCCGACTAGGGGATACCCTGAACCCTCTTCTTACGACAGGCGATAGGTATAAAATGAATAATACTTGATATACTATATATACTATTCTAGAAGCTACATGTCAAGTTTGGTGACTCTAGCTCATATTATTTGCCAAAATTGCTCAAAAAACAGGAGTTCGATTTTTATCGATTATTTGGGAACGGGGCAAGCTATCGAATATAGGTAACAAACTCGATCTGCGCTAGGAGGACCTACAACCAAAATTTCAAGTCTCTATCTCTTATAGGTTCAGAGATCCTTGCGTTCATACATACAGACAGACGGACAGACAGACTGACATGCCTAGATCGACGCGGCTGTTGATGCTGATCAATAATATATATACTTTATGGGTTCGGAGATGCTTCCTTCTGCCTGTTGCCATTTTTAATGGTATCAGGGTATAAAAATGATCTAGTATAATAAAGATCTGATATACATACATATGTATATGCATAATCTTCTTCTGCTAGAGTATAACAACTTCGGCTTGCTAAAAATAATATACCAATTCACTAAGAAACAATCTAATTTCAATGTAAACATGAAATAACTCCATATTATTTAAAACTAAATTGATTATTGATGCCACTTAATAGTTATTTGAAATTCATATCATCTGCCCCTCTTCAATCGCACTCATACGACGCCTCTGATTAGTATGCGAATTGTTTACACGCTCAAGCGAAATGTTTTTATGCCCTGATTGATTGTCATAAAGTCGTTCTGGCCTTATCAGCGCTATGTGCATAGTCTACTATTGTCCCTTATGTCCCTCTCCCCCATCATTATTCCAAGTTGAGCAAAGCAAACAACGATGAGAAGCACAAAACGTATTGGAAAACGCGAAGCCCCAACGAAAAATCTCCTGCAATCGTAATTCTCAGTTCAATTTTAGTGCTGCAACGTTTCGGTCAAAAGTGAAAAGTGCTCGACTCTGACCAAAGCAAATACTATATATACCTATATATATACTTATTCATGATATAGAGGCAATCACAAGTGCTTAGCATGTACGCGACTCTGCATCGCTTTTCCTCACTTAAAACCTTTGGACGGTTCAAGAAGTATATGCATATGTACAGCAAAAATATACATACATATATACATATAAGCATTTTACATAAGCTTACCTACCTGTACTTACCTACATATGCTTCATTATCATGAATCCGAAGAGGGCGTAGCACTAGTCTTATCTCTATTTGAGATTTGTCTGGTCTGCTGTTCGAGCATCACCTGTTTCTGAATGTTATGCGAAAATGTATAATCCCAAAAACAATCTTAATCACTGCAAATTTGTATGATTTAACATATTGAAAAACATTTTGATTATAATGCTTCATTTCTCACTCTTTGACATTTTGGAACTGTTTGTAAAATTAATATAAATTTGTTCTTATATTTTCTAAATGCTCGTTTTTAATACCACATAATAAGCCTAAAGTGAATACTACTAGATCACAATGATCAATTCATTTTGTGTAGTTCACAGAGTGCAAAACTTGCATAAAATGTATTTAAAAGCGTATGGTTTTTATATCTTTCCCTTCCTCTTCTTGCTATTGATGTGCCGCTATGGAGTTACAACAAGACTAAGCACATAACATCACACCAAGTATTTTTCGAATAATATAATTATGCCGAAAACTGGGCATTTGTTTTGTCTACCCTACTAACTTACACACACAAGCACACACAGCGCACTCTCCTCACATTCACTCTCTTCCGTCTCTCTGTCTCATTCACAGCACGCCGATTTACCCAACGGCCAATAATTCCCACAGCCCTTCCAATGGCCAAATAACACCATATCATCATCAGCAGCTACAGCAACAACAACAACTAAATGAGCACGGTTATTACAAGACCACAATACCCGTTGGCGCTGGCACTGGCAGCGCCGTCGACAACAGTAGCAGCAAACGCTGCTCTCACTGTCAAACAGCTGATTTGTGCTCACGCGCACTCGTGCAAGAGAGCATCGGCAACAACAATAATAATAACAAAATAAACGCGGCACAGCCAACACGCATACACACCCACACAACACACGAAAGCACAAGCAGCTGTGATGGTGACTGCGCTGCCGCTGCTACTGCGAAATGGCGCAGTAGTCGTGTGTGTAAAAATCATACGACTACAACGATAACAACGCTCGAATACGAACTTTCCAATTTTGCAAAACTCACAACACAAATCAGTACACAACGCGACGTTGACGAGGCAACAGCAAGAGCAGCCGATTCTGAAGCTTTGCCAACACAACCACCGATATTATCCTCGAGCCACTTGCAACAGCTACAGCAGAGCCTGCACGAGCTACACCAACACCAAACGCAAGAACTTATTGGCAACCCTAGCAACAATCTACAACAAATACGAAGCTACAGCTGCGACATGAGCAAAAGCAACGATCTGCATCGTGATCGCCTCGGTCTTTGGGGCACCGGCGACAACGAGATTGTGGGCAACGTCTCTGGACTCGAGCGCCTGGAAAACAAACGCTTCAGCAAGGTAAGTTAAAAGAAGAAAGCCGCTTGCTTCCCATACGTAGGAATAGTGGAAAAGTACCAGCATAGAGCACAGAAAAAGACAGAACGGGGTTGTTTCGGATATACATACATATGTATTTGTAGATATGTACTTAAAATGAATGAACATACGCACACACACACATACACTCCAAACGCCGCATTAGCAACATGTTAGACCGATACAGTGTAAAAAACAGTTGATGACAAAATAATTTTTTATTATATGCCGTCTTATGTAATTGAAAGTTTTGCTTATATGTATATTAGTTGTTAAACTATGACAGTTATGTTTACTCAGTGCTGGCGACGTAGCCCTTCATTGAAAAAAAGCTTACGACAAAAAAGCAAATGACGTTGCTCAAGTTTTGACTGCTATTTTTATGCCACAGCTGCAAAAAACAAAACCAAAACTCATAAATAATAAAAATAAATAGCTATTAAACATAAATGTCCGCTAACAATTTTCTCAAAAAAAAAATTGGTGCTGCCGGTTTGCATGACCTTAAGATGACATAGCCAAAGCAAAACGTCCGTCCACGCGCCGCACTGGAAGACCAAAGCTCGTGTGGAATTTTTTTCGTCTTTTATTTTTTGTAGTTTTTGTTCTTCATATAGTTGATGACAGCATGGGGGCATAGAAAATCAATAGAAAATAATGAACAATTGTGTGAGCACGTAATTGAGTGTCCGATAAACAGGCCAGCCAATTAACTATGTATTTAACTACACGCAGCTAACTAAAGTGTTAACACAGCCAATTTGGTTGCACGCATTTTACCGTGCAGTTTGCATTATCAAGTTCATTGCCAACTTGCAGATGCAGTTGTTTTTTCTCTCTCTCTCTCTCTCTTAGGCAATTCGCCTTTCCGCATTTATTACACAGTTGAGCATTAAATTAACATGCAAATAGAGAGACCGGGCAGAGAGAGAGAGAGTGAGACAGAGAGGGCAATTATGCATGCGGGAGCAAACAATGCGCATGAGCTTTAAAGGAGGGTTAGGATGGGGTGGGGCGTGTGTTTTATGTTTCATACAATGAACATGTTTATGCAAGCAATTTAACGTCTTAAGAAAAGACAAGTCCCGTTCGTTAGTAGTTCATATTATGTTAAAACTTAATATCGGGTGTCATCAAACTAAAAATGAGGTTTTTTAGAGCATACGCAAAATAATAAATATAATAATAACAATATAAACATGATGATATTTGGTATTACATTGATTATGATAATCATATTGATTTTAATAACAATAAAAATAATCACAAAAAAATATCTAAAGGTGACCCACAAAAGTTCTCAAGGGCCCTTATCAAAGTTTTCAAGTGCTTTCATATTTATATATTCTTTATACTCTGTAGTATGTATTTGATTTGAACTGTTTTGCTTTTTAACGGAAACAGCTGACTGTTTCTATATGCATCAATAACATATATGTACATATATATAAATATTGTTAAAGCTCACGCCCAAGACTTTGTCCATTTGGTTCCATTGCATAATGGAAATTTTTTCCAATTTTTATCGCAATGCATATATACTAAATACTATCAACTGCCTAACCCACAAAAACTGACCTACGTTAAGCGTTAAATACAGTTTAACGAATAAACTTGACTAATGACAAACCTTTATACAATATGCTTTCATATATACATATGCATGTATGTGCATGGCACAAAATATTTGTTTAGATAGCAAAAAAAAATGAGCCAGACAAATCATTTGCATGTTTGCCTAACTTATCCGCATGTTGTTGTTTATAGGAAATTAAAGAGCACGGTAAGCATTATTGAGAGCAAGTCGACGTTCAAATACGCTTACAGCACTTACAGAGATGTGCAATTGGGCGTAGCTGATATGCTCACTGTTAGTGTAGGCAAATTTAAATAATTAATACGGTCAATGTGCTCCATGAAGCGAAACTGTGAACTTAGTTACTTCAGTAGTTCAATATGCAGAGAGAGCTTGTACGGCATCTGTTGCCTTTTGAGTTATTTCTGTTTCTTTGAATTGTACTGCACTTCGTGCTTGGTCCAAACGGTTAAATTTAGTTGAGCGCAATTTTGCATAGAAGAAAGCCTTAGCTTGTGCTTAAACTACATTTGTTGACAGATTTGTTAAGCTTAGGCAATTTATGCATCTGTAGCTTGCGAAACCACAGCCCACCCTTCGCACCGCTGGCCCACAATTCGCAATGCATAACCGACAGTTAGCACACACACCTTGAAGACCTTTCACCTTTTTAACAGGGGAAACAATTTGTATGAAATTGTCTGTGGCTGTGTCTGTTACGGTGTCATCTTTTGTTGTCGATTCCGCTGGTTTCGTCATCGCAGCGCTTTGAAGTCACGCTTCCCGCTGCACGCTTATCGCCAACGGCGGCTGCCCCCTGATAATAAATATGATGATCGACATCCCGCCGTGCCAGACACCGCAAACATCAGCTGAGCGCTAACCAAGTTATATTTGTATTTCTTTTATTACATTTTTATTTCTTTTTTTTTTGCAATTTTGTTGCAAATTTATATGCGTAATCCAACTGTTGATTATTGCGTATACGCTGTGCGACGCGCTGTGAGGCAAGCGCTAGGAATTGCTTGCTGTGTGTGTGTGAGTTGTATACAGCTATACCTTTGTGTGTGTGTGTGTGAAGTGTACACACCTATAGCAATGTGTGAGTCTGTGTGTGTGCTGGAACGGTAGCTAACGTGTTGCCAGGCAAAACGATCTCGCGCACCGCCCGCTTATCGTAGATCGTAGAGCTGAACATTTCAATGTCAACGGTGTCGTTTTCAACGGTCTCGCACTCACTATTTCATCAGACCCATTGATGACGTATCGTAAACTAACGATATTATGAGCTATTCCAGAATGTTTGGTTTTCCTATCGCTGTTAAGCGAGTCGGTTAGGTAATTACTACGACTACGACGTACGTAGTTAATTGATTTCAGCCACTTAACACATTTTTAGCTACTCATCCACACACGCTCCCACCACATGGAGTAATGATTTTTTCGGGGCTGGTTTTAAATTGCTGCAAATTTTGATTAGATTAAAACTAATTTGCCGTGTTCTGTGGAAGATTTTCGCTGCTCGGGGAAGCGCATCTGATGTTAATTTTCACACGTATTCACGCCCTAATTGAAAAATGTTGCCCATTCACATATTTATTTCAACTCAAGATGAGTCGGCAAGAAATTTACCCAATTTATGACGCACTTCTGTGTCTGAGTTATTTTTTGTGTGAACTAAAGACAACATCATGTTGGGCTTTAATCTGGGATAAACCCTAATAGGTTTTGTCTTGTCTTAAACTTCGTTAAGTCATCAGATCTTAAATAGAAATAAAAATAATTTATTCAATTTGTTATTTCAACATTTAAAAGCACGCGAAATGTACATTTGATGTGCCCAAAACATGCATGTCTGATCTAATGTATATAGTTATACATGCAAAGCACAATTACACAAATTAACAAGTACGAGAACTGCCAATTTAATTCAACAAGATACTATTAATAGATTTTTCTTTAATTTTCAAGTATCTCAACTTTACTGCACACGATTCGCTTATTATTAATTTATTTTTTATGAACAGTTCGAGTTAGTTATTATTACAACAAATATTTATGAAATTACAATCATGATTAAATTTTAACAACAGGTTTAAATCTTTAGAAATTACATCATAGAGAATATTCTAATATTAATAATGAATTAATGCAACATTAACAATTATTATTTAAGGATTCGGGCTTTAAGCTCTTTAAAATAAATATTTATAAAAAATAATATACAATATTTAATTCAAGCGAAGAGCTTTTAAATATTATCATTATAAGATGACAACAACTCAAACTAAACGCTTAACCTTGACCTTAAGGTATATTTATGCACATGTCAAATGCACAAACGTTAACTTGCAGTTATTCTTTGTATTGTCACGATTTTTACATTTTTCAAAGCCTTTAAAGAATGCGCTACTACTTTCATGTGCAATTTGTCAGGTAGTGTCAGGCACAAGGAAGTTGCACAACCAAAAAAAAAAATAATGATAAAAGTTGGGAAAGTCGTTAAAACACATATTAAGTTCCATAAAGTTCATATCAGTTAATTACACAATAGCATAAACAAAAAACAACTTTAAGTACAAACAATTGAGCGCTTTCAAATGTTGCAAATCATGCTCTGAGCATTCGGCAGCGTATCGAGGTCGCGGGTTGAGTCAGCAAACGGTTCGACTTTCAAATTCAAGCCCCTTCCAGCCCCACTGCATTTGAATACCGGTTGGTAATCGCGCATATATGGTCCGAGACGGTGACAGATGCTGTCCAGAGATTGACTTTGAACTTCAAATATATTTCGCATGCAAATCTGATTGCCTATGGGATTTGGCAGTGCATTCGGCGAAGGTCAGTTAAGAGGCGTTTGCCAGCCCAAGGGCACGAGCACAGGAACGGGCACAGACAGGTTGTCTGTGGCGCGTGGCGCTTGGTCACGCGTTACGCAAAGGTCTTTGATTGATTGGTGGTTCACCCAGATAATGACAGTCGGCCGTTGATTAAGCTAATCAGCAAAAAAAGGTCGCTGGTTCAATTCTCGGGTCAAACAATTGGCTTTGGCTTTGCTTCGAATACTTTGTCACATTCTTTCCTATTTCAATTGAAGCCCAATTCATTAAATAATAATAATTTTATTATTATAACTATTATAATTATTATTCTTATTTTCCTTTATTTTAGGGTCTCGCCTTTACACATGAGGAGCGCCAGGTGTTGGGCATTCATGGCCTTTTGCCCTATGTGGTGCGCAGCGATGATCAGCAGGTGGAGCATTGCCGCATTCTGCTGAATCGTCTGGAAAACGATCTGGACAAGTATGTCTATCTGATTGGACTCTCTGAGCGCAACGAGCGTCTCTTCTACAAGCTGCTCAGCTCGGACATTGCTCACATGATGCCGCTGGTGTATACGCCTACGGTGGGCTTGGCTTGCGAGAAATACAGCCTGGTGTTCCACAAGCCCAAGGGCATGTTCATCTCCATCAAGGACAAGGGACATGTCTATGATGTGCTCAAGAATTGGCCAGAGATGGATGTGCGCGCCATTGTGGTGACCGACGGTGAACGCATCTTGGGCCTGGGTGATCTGGGCGCCAACGGCATGGGCATACCCGTGGGCAAGCTCTCGCTTTATACGGCTCTGGCTGGCATTAAGCCGCATCAGTGCCTGCCCATCACCTTGGACGTGGGCACCAACACACAGTCCATACTGGTAGATCCGCTCTATGTGGGTCTGCGTCAGGCACGCGCCACAGGCGATCTGTATGATGATTTTGTCGATGAGTTCATGCGCGCCTGTGTGCGCCGCTTTGGCCAGAACTGTCTCATTCAGTTCGAGGACTTTGGCAATGCCAATGCCTTCCGCTTGTTGTCGCTGTACCGTGACAAATACTGCACCTTCAATGATGATATTCAGGGCACCGCGTCTGTTGCTGTCGCCGGCCTGTTGGCCTCACTGAAGATTAAGAAGACACTGCTGAAGGATAATGTGTTGCTGTTCCTGGGCGCCGGCGAGGCTGCGCTTGGAATTGCCACCCTGTGCACCATGGCCATGAAGGAGGAGGGCCTGAGCGACGAGGAAGCCAAGGCACGCATCTGGATGGTCGACAGGTGAGAACTTGTATAAATCTCTCTACTGGGAATCCAGCTAACCCACCATTTCCTTGACAGCCGTGGCGTGATTGTGCGCGATCGTCCAAAGGGCGGCCTCACCGAGCATAAGCTTCACTTTGCCCAGGTCAGCCCGCCCATTGACACCTTGATGGAGGCGGTGACAAGGGTGCGACCCAATGTTCTGATTGGTGCCTCCGCTCAGGGCGGTGCTTTCACTAAGGATATTCTCGAGAAAATGGCCGAGATCAATGAGACGCCCATCATATTTGCACTGTCGAATCCGACCAGCAAGGCTGAGTGCACCGCCCAGGAGGCCTACACCTATACAAATGGTAGATGTATTTTTGCATCCGGCTCACCGTTCGCACCGGTTACATACAATGGACGCAAATTTTATCCGGGCCAGGGAAACAACTCGTACATCTTCCCGGGCGTGGCTCTGGGCGTCTTGTGCGCCGGCATGCTGACCATACCCGAGGAGGTGTTCCTCATCTCTGCCCAATGTCTGGCCGAACTGGTCAACAAGGACGATCTGAACAAGGGCAGCCTGTATCCGCCACTTAATTCGATTGTCCAATGCTCGTTGGCAATTGCCGAGAGAATTGTGTGCTATGCCTATCAGAATGGCCTGGCCACCGTGCAGCCCGAGCCCGAGAGCAAGCTGGCCTTCATCAAAGCTCAAATGTACGATCTCGAGTATCCACGTGCCTTGCCAGCCACCTATCCCTTGTAAGGGGAACCCTTGAAAGAGTCAACTACGGCACATTCAGCTACTCAACTCGTCGTTCACCAGGATATTCCCATCCTTCACGTTGTCGTCGTCGCGTTCAGTTTGGCATTGCAGCATACTTTCCATTCCACTTGCTTCTATGAGTTGCCGTACGAATTTAGCCGCGGGCATCAAAACCAGCAGCAACATGCATATGTTATTTATTTTATAGAGTCGCACACATCCTTTTTATAAGCATCCTTTAACACATATGTATAATAACCCTACGAAAAAGCTCTATTCAGATTGTTTGCTGGCCCAAGTTGAAACCGAGAGAACACACCACATTGATATATAAAAAAAAAAGTATACTAACAAAAGATAATCATTTTATGATGCTGATATGTATGTAAATGGGATATTAATATGATAGATGTCTTTGTGTATACAAATTCGATGTAAACGTGAACAAAAACTATGCTAAGTACATAAGTATATATAAAAATAAAATAAATAAAACAATAATGAAAAAACATATTTCATTGTGATTATTGGAGCTTGTCGAAATTAGAGATTAAAACAGTTCAGACAAGTACTTTGTGAAAGCTGACGTTAAACTTACCACGTGATAAATATTTAACATTACTGTTAAGTCTTAACAGTGTGACCAGGCTTACTTGGGAAAATACTTTAAAAATGTGCAATGCTAAAACGGACTGAAGCTCTACGAAAGCTACAATTACAGCTAAAAGTCTTACGAAATGCAAATGAAATAATATTAGGGCAGGCTTCAATGATAAAATACAGACCAAATGTGCGGTTAAAACGAATCCGTAAACTACAAAAGCAAGTGGAAAGAATTGAACATTAATGTCATATGTTAATAGGGTGATAAATCTAAAATGAATAAATATCGATTGTATAGGTATCAATTTAAAGCGCATCGAAGTTCGCAGAAAGAATAGATTTAACATTAATGTTAAAACCTAAAAGTGTGACCAGGCGTAGATAGCCAAATATATATAGAGAATAAGCAGGTAAAGGGAATCTATGCGCTACAACAATTAGGAAACTAGCTGGCTCTGAGTTACATATGTAACGTAAAATTGTAACATTAATGTTAAGCACTAATAGTGTGACCAGGCTAAATTGATTAACTTTTATATAGGTTTGAGCTTAAATGTGCCTTAGATTTATTGTCGGGACTTGAGAAAAGTGAATAGTCTGTAGGCCAGCTGCATAATCTGAAAAATTAAAATATTGATAAGCGCATAAAATTCAAAGAGTATCTGCCACTTACATCAGAAAAGTGCTTCATATTGACCTCGACCAAACCATAAGCTGTAAGCTTTCTGGTACACTGTGCATATTTGATCCAAATTAGAGTCAACTTGCGGTACATCTTGCTGCCCATATACCAGTTTTGATTGTACAGAGCCTCATTTAAACGGGACGACTAAGAAAATCATACATATGTATATATTGTATAGGCAATAAATATATCGGTGAACTCACGGCCTCCTCGAGCTGTGAGCCACGCAGACAAATCTCGAAGGTGAACACCACCAGGGCCAATGTGGGCAAAATGTACTTGACAATCATCAACGGATCCTGGGATTCGGTTATCAAATACAAATGAAAACATATGGATGTGGCGCCCACAAGATCAGTTATCAGAATCGCAAGCTTAAATATGTCATTGAATTTATCGCATATCAAATTGAGCTGCTGGTGACGGCGAATCAGGCCACAGATGTGCTCATAGAACTGCCTTTCATCCAGGGCATGGTGGCTATCGGCTGCATTGAGCGCCTCCAGCTGCCTGCAAAAGCAATCCAGATGCATGATGACCTGGGCCTGCATCGTGTTGAACAAGGTGTCGAAGCTGGTGAAGAAGGTGACGCCCACCAGCATGGAATAGACATCGTACAGCCACACCAATGGATAGACCAAATGATTCTGCCGAAGGTCATAGGGCAGCCAGCCGCCAAGCAGCTGATGATCCAGCAAGATGGGCGCATTCCCATCCTCATAGGTGAGAATGTATGTGACGACCGGTGTGAAACAGAAGCCCGGTAGTGCATAATTCGCATAGAGTCCCACGTATCCGTGTCGCTTTTGATAGCGCTCGAATACCTGCGGCACATTAAGCACCCTTTGCGAGACCAAATCCTTGGGAAATTCCCGGTCCAGCACATTGAGAAAATCCACAATATCGTGTCGCTTGATAAACATCATTATGCCCCGAATCGTGAAATATACCGATATGCTCAGCACGGGCAGATTTTGATGGGACGTCTCGCCCAAATGGATCGATCTTAGGATGTCGAACAAATTGATGCCAAAAAACCAGACATCCAACAGGAAACCCGCACGGAAAACCATTTCCGACTTGTTAATCAAGCGTCCATCCTCATTTCGCACGAATTGAAAGTGTAGAAAATGAAAAACTTGCTGATATTTGTGGAATTGCAAGAACTGCTCAATTTTGATGGGTTCATTTACTGTGTCCATTTTGAAATTGTATAAAACACTGTAAGGCCGTGCTGTTCGATGCGTCTATATATGCAAATCTAACACCAGCCATAAATTGGATAATTATTGCCTATCTGCAGCTATAATTGCCTGCAGGTTGCATCAATCAGGACTTTGATTGTTTAATTGTTAGTTATAAGGTGGTACTTAATACTATGTACACTATGTAGTAGTGGCTGGGTTGTGGGTGGTTGGCTAATTAAGCTGGCGAATATTAAATTATTATAATTAATTACTATATTTTGTTGATGCAATAAATACTAATCCATCAAAGTAACACCAGTTGCATACAACATTTTTGCAAGTAGAAATTTTTGTTTAATTTTCTCTTTGACAAATTCGAAACTTATTTAATATATTCAAATATATCAAAAATTAACTCATTTCAGTCTGGAATGTTTAGTTCAAAAATTACCGGTTTTTGCATTTAAATCCAATTTATCGTTTTAATGTGTCGATAAGCCTCTCAGTCTTGCGTTTACGTTACGCAGTATCGCGATTACGTACTCATCTGGCGTTTACGTTTGTTTTGGTTCGCGCATGGAAAATGCTATATGTTAGAGCGAGATATCAGCTCAGCTCTCTTCGCAACGTAAAAACTTGTCAACAGTCAATGCAATAAAACATTAAATTGCAGTGTAAAATAATTATAAGAAAAAAATATAATGGAAAGGTTAATGGTAAGACACTAGCAGGGAAAACCCAATGTTACATGACTAATCAATGTACCCACTCTTTCCGCGCACAGGCAAGTTTCCAGCGACCTCAACTAGTCAATGAGCTGAAGCAGAAACAGGTGAGCGCCGTCTCGAAAATAAATATAGACAAACACGTCTAACAATACGCACTACTCTTATAGGCCATAACAGATCGTCTGCTACAGCGGATACTCTATTCAAAACGTCTACTGGTTGATCATGTCGAGGCGCTTGAGCAGTGCATGCAACAGCACCCGACAGCGGCGCCCGGCCGGCAGTTGCTGACCACGCGGAATGCCTGCCTACTGATGAGCGGCACCGTCCTGCAGCACCTGGTAACGCCGCGTGGACTGCGACTGTCGCTGATGCCCTCTGTCCTGCTGACGAGCACCTTTGGCGCCCTGTATGCCGTCAAGAGCGTCTTTGTGTGCCGCAACAAAATTGTTGAGCGCAAACTGGAGGAGCTGGTGAAGACCATTGATGATTTTGGCAATTGCATAAGACGCAACATGACCTACTTTCAAGAAATTATCATTATGAAACAGGCAGAGTTAATTGAGTAAGTGCATCGGGGATACAATAATAAAAGACGAATGTCCTTAACGTTGCTATCCCCGCAGATCACGACAAATAGAGCGCGCCTGGGACTGCATAACAGCGGCTAAGGAGGTAACCGAAATACTCTACGATGCCACACGAAAACTGGAAGTTGATTATCCCCTACCAGCCAAATATGGACCCTACTATGCGCCCATGGAGGAGCTGCGCGAATGTGAATACTTTAAGAACAATGTCACGGACTACAGCCCGAAGCACATTAAGGTACGTTTGTGTATTACCATATATATGCCCTAATATATACCCTACTAATATCTTGCATGCTGCAGGACTTTCACAACATATTCGCCTATGTGCAGTCGCAGTATTTGCTACGTCTGGCGCTCACCATTATGACTCGTCCATCAATTTCGCAGCTCAGCGAAGATCTAGTGAAAATAGACAAACTGATGCGACAGCTTGTCCAGGAGGAGGAGCAGCATTTCAAGAATCTGTCGCTGGCCATGCAAAACAAGAAGAAACTGGAGCTCGCCCAACTACACGCGGCCAAAATCCAACAACAACCAAGCGGTCCCATTGTTGTACTGCAGCATTCATCCCTGAAGCTCAGCGCCTGCATGGTGGCCGTGGCCGGCGAGTGCCAGGCACTGGATGTCACGCTACAACAGCTGACTGCAGCCGAGGCAGCCAACAGAAACAATGCGGACCAGTTGGTGGCCGTGGCACACAATATGCGTGGCATTGAGAATGCTTTGGCCGTTTGTTGTGATGATTTCCAGCGCCTGATGCTGGTCTACAACAAGTTTCTGAATAGCAAATTAGGGTTGGGCATTGATGAGCCCGGTAAAAATAAGTCGCCAACCAAGGAGCAAGAGTTTCCGGAGAGCATTTTGCGTGTGGAGTACTCGCAGAATCCCGGCGAGCCGCAAAAGTGCGACGACTTCTATGCATATATGTACGATGAGCTGGAAGCGCGACAGTACGAGAACGACCATAAAGTACCATATTCCACACCCGAAAAGGAGCTGCTCAATTTCGAGAAGCGCATCACCAAGAGCAAATTCAAGCCTGTGCTCAGGCAGCTCAAGGATCGCATAGATCCCATACGTCGTGTAATGCTGGAAAAGGAACGCGAAGTGCTCACCGCCAAGGGCATCAATGTGGATGAGCTGTTTGGCAAAGTGGAGCAGCCAGAACAGCCACAGGACAATCGCCTTGAAAACGCCAAAATTCACAGCGATGACGATGCCAGCGATTCCGAATCTGACTCAGCGGATGAGGCAGCAGATGTGCGCAGCAAGCAAATTAAAGAACGCGATAATTTTGCCGAAATGCGACAATTTCTCGCCCAGAAAGCAGCCGTCAATCTGTTCCAGCTGAATCCACAGATGCATCAGTTGCTGCTCCAAAAATCAGACGATCAGCTGGCACGGCCAACGGCAGCTATGGAGGAGGAGCTGTTAGAAAGCGAGTGCTAGACCCAATTAGCTAGTGTTAGTCACATTATCTCTATGCTTATCATTTCATCTATGAAATGTATGAGATAAGCGGCCCAGCTGCGTCAGAAGCGCCTTCAACAACACCTTTTTATTAACTTCAGATTGTTCCCATTTTTATTATATTTTTTTTTCTCCCCCTTTACATTTAAAATCATGCAAATTAATAAACCAGTTTACAGACAATTGTATGGCATATAGTACTAAGTTCTAGTATGTTCAAATCCTGCAGAAAATAATCCTCGAATCTCAAAATATTTGGGATTTTGCTAATGCAAAGCAAAAACAAATCATATTGTAAACTGTGATCTTTTAAGTTTTTTCTAGAGGCTTTGATGATATAGAGGTCGCTCGCTCTAGTTTTAGAGATAATTCAAATTCATCAATTTTAATTTCTGGAAGCTATATTTTTCTATGCTTAAGATTAAAAGATAATAATTGAAATATATAGTAATGGGAAATTTGAACATTCAGAAATTTGAATTTGAATCTGCATTAGACTTCTGCAATCTAAAATTCCTTTTCATGAGAAGTTTTTCAATTATATGTTTAAAAACATGTGAATATGTAATTCTCAAAAAAACGCCAACTTCTAGAAATTGATCACAGTATTATATTAAATTGTATTTTTTTTTATATGGAGAAATAAATCTCTCAGATATTAGACTTTTTGTTGGAATTCGCCATCGAACAGAAGCGTTTTAATTTGCGACCCAAAATTGGGTTAAAAAAATATATATATTCAAAATTGTTGAAAACCATTAAACAATAAGAACACAAATATCTTCAAAGGTGTGAGAGAAGTAAATAAATTACTCAAAAATGAATATTTTAGATAGCCTGTTTTTTTGGAGTTCTCTTTAGCGAACGACCACTGTATTGTTTAATAAAAATATCTCTGCAATGTTTATAAAAATGCATTTTATTTCACAGTAATTAAAACCTATCGAAACTTAAGTACAATACAAACAGCGATGGCAACACTAGACACTAGGGATATGGTGGCAGGACTCCTCCAGGGGAGTTTCGATTTAAATATACATATGTATATATATGTATGTATCTATGTATATATACAGTATAAACATGCACGCAAAGTCTTTGTTTTTGTAGTGGCTGCAACACTTTCGTGGACATCTTTGGCTCATGGTACGTGCAGCAGGGGCAAAAAAAAAAGTGAAGAAAAAACAAGGAGCCCGCTCAGGCATTGGGTGCACCCGTTGTGGTGCCTGCATTGGCGGCGGCATTATTGAATTTGCTGGTAACTGAAGCCGGCTGCAGCTGCGAGAAGGCGGACAGATTGCTGCCGCGCACGCTGGTGTAGCGTATGGGCTGGACGCCGTAGTCGTTGCCCTTGAGACGGCGTCGCACGCAGACCACAATGAAGCCAATGATCAGGCCGGCGACAACCACAACGCTGGCAATGATGACAGTGAGGATTATGTAGCGACGACGCAGAAATCGTGGCGGATCATCCTCGACGGCGCGATACTTCTTGGGTATGACCATATTGCAGATTTGCTCCGCCGTCAAATTGGTCAGCGGCAGACCGGCCAGCAGATAGGGCGTATCGCAGCGGGCCACAGCACTGGCCGGCTGGAGCAGCACCTGCGGTGCACCGGCATGCTCTAGCGCCTGCAGCAGATCGCAGCTGCAGTACCAGGGATTGCCGGCAATGGCCAAGCTGCGCAGGCGCGGCCAACTCGCATTGGTTGCGTTGCCGCTCACGTTCAGCGTGAGTGTGGTCAGGGCATTCTGCGAGATGTCCAGCTGTGTCAGATTGCGGCTATGCAGCAGATCCGACAGCTCCAGGCGCTCCAGTTTGGGATTGCGTGCGCAGTCCAGCTGCTCCAAGGCAGGCAGCTGCAAGGCGCTCGGCTCAATGGTGCGCAGCATGAACATTTCACTGATGTTCAGGCGACGCAGTGCGTCCAGCTGCTGAAAACTGTGTGCCCCAATTTTGGCCAGAGGATTGCCCGCCAGATTTAAGTGCAGCAAACTCTTGCCCAGCTGCTGTATGCTGGCTGGCATCACGGCAAACTCATTGCCAGAAATGTCCAGCTGATGGAGATTGTTAAGGTGTGGAAAGAGCTCGGCGGGCAGCGCTAACAGACCGTTGTGCGACAGATCCAAGCGCTCCAGATTTGTGATCGACGCCAGCGAGGCTGTGGTGGCCGCATCCAGCACACTGAGTCGATTATAGGCCAGCGCCAGCTTGCGCAGCTGTGGCGTGTGCTCGAAGAGCTTGCGATCCAGGCGAGATATGCGATTGTGGCTGAGATCAAGATCCTTCAGTGCAATGGGCTCATATCTGGTGGCATTGAAGGGGCCGCGAAACAGTTCCGGCTTCAGAGCGTCATCTGCGATCTCGTTCCAGCTGAGGTACAGACCCTCCACGTTGGGCACGTCCATGAAGAGCGGCTCCTGCAGCTGCTGCATGCCACAGTGGCGGCACGAAAAGGTCAGCGTTGCATTCGTCGCCGGCAGCTGCTGCAGCAGCCGAATATTGTTGCCCGAATACGAAGCGACAATCTCCATGCCCGCATGCTGGGTGCCAAACTCCGGCGGCCAGCGCGCCAGAATGTGGCCAAAGTTCTTCATCGCACAATTGAGTGTCTGGTGCAGGCGATGGTTATTGTCCTGGGCACTCAGGCAGGTGCATGTCTCGCAGATGTTAGCCACAGGCTGGTAGGGTATATCCTCGTGCTGGGCAACCCCCAGGCTCAGCAGCAGAGCTGCCATGCTGAGAAGCTGCAATTAATCAAATTGGATTGGATGTATTAGTGATTATTATTTATTATAAATAATGAATTGTTCTATTTCTAACAGCAGTTATTTATAGATAGGCAAGTTTTTTAACAAGGCAACATTCCACTCCTAGCTTTTTGTCCAATCTTCAACTACTTAGTCCAAAAAGCAATACCACAAAGCTAACAATGAGAATCTTCAAAATAAACCTGTTATTAAATAGTTTACTTTTTCAGCTCTTATATAATTTCTGTAATCTTTGACACTGGGAGTAATCGTCCTAAAGATACTCTGCTTTTTTATTTTACAATAAAACCTATAAATATATATTTATGTATGCATTTGAAAGATTTTTAGGAATTCGAATTTTTTAGGAATTAGAATTGAAATTAAAGTTTTAATTCTATATCGTGTTTTGATTTCCATTAAATTAAAATTTTGATTTTAAAGAAATTCTTCCAGTATTCGTATTCGTATACTTTATCGTATGTTAATGAAATTCCATATCGTATTCTGATTTCCAAAGAATTTCTTTATCGTGTTTTAATTTCTAACGAAAAATTATAACATAATACTTTTAAATATCTATTTAAAATGGCTTTTAGAAATTTTAATTTTTTGTTAAATATTTATTTGTATATATATTTTATATTTATTATATTATTATATTATATTTTATTTATATATGGTTATATTTTATATTCATAAAAGTTTAATTTTGTGGCATTTATATTTAAAATTAGAATTTTCACGAAAAATGTATGCCATTCTTTTTTATAAATTCGTAATTGCTTATCTATTATAAATTACTGTATTAGTTATAAGAATATTAGGCAATATCAACATAGATAGAAGCCATCAATGCTCTACTTTCATATTTTTGGATATACATATATATATTTTCATATAAAATAATAATAAAATATTTATATGTATATTATTCGTTATTATGTTAAACTTAGTAAATTAAACTAAACTAAAACTTTCTTGACTATCATAAGAGCCTTTGTCCCAAGGAGTTTCCAACAAATTTTTATATTAAATTTCATTTTTGAAATAGTTGTGCCATAAAAAGGTTTCCCCAAACAAAATATATATACACAGAACAATATATGTATATGTATGTTTAATATCTCTATAATGCACACATTGTTAACTGTATATTTAGGTGCTTCATAGCTGACCCCAGCGAAAACAATTTCAGATAAGATAAGAAAACAGTTCGAAATTTGTAGCTAGATAGATTATATTTTTTTCCACTCACCAGCAGCAAAAGCTTGCACTTCATGCTGTACACGTAGTTATTTATTGAAATTAATATTTTTTATGTCTGTGTTGATTTTTCTTTGATCAATTGCAATCAAATGCACAAAACACTTTAAGTATTTAATTACATGCACTGCTGCGAATTGTTTCTTATTCGAATTCGGCGGCGCTGCGAAATGAACAGTTAACCACGAGCACTTTTCGAAGTCGAATTGGAACTAACGTGAATGATTCAAGCCGCAGGCCGTGGGTTGAGGCATTATTTGTTTTGATTAGATATCAGCTGAGAGCAGCACTCTCTGTCTCTCCACCTCTCTCTCTCTCACAAACAAAAACATACTTTCGCTCTCGACTAAGCCGCGTTAAATGTAAGTTGTAAGTACAGTGTGTCTTAAGTAAAAGTGAATTTGCATTGAGTCACGAGCAGACTGTTTTGTTCTGTTGCAAGGTCGTTTATGATGATGCGCCCAATGCCAGCTGCACACTGACTAAAACAGCAACTACGTGTTTTTGTTTTGCTTTTGTCCAATTTGAAATACAGAGTCCTATATACATATGTATGTAGCGACAATGATAAGATAACAAATTGTGCCAAGCAGCAACAAAAAGCCAACAAATATGCGTCTCAACACAGTTGACTCAGCTGCGATCTCTGCTGTTTGAAAAAAGAATGGCAGGCACAGGAAATATTAAAGAAATGCCGACTGCCGCTAGGCCGTTCCAATTAGATTTGAGGGGCCAATTGCAATGGCAACAAGCATGTGTCACTACGTTTCATTGAACTTTGCGCCATCATCTGTGTATGCGTATAAATATATACATATACATATGTTACAGTGTGTATAATACATACATATGTATGTGTGTGATACAATGAGGCAAATTGAGCTGTTCGAAGAACATGCAAATTGATGCCAACAACAAATACCAAATGGCGGCGGCGACGGCGGCGTCGGCGGTCGCAATGTGAGCTCCAGAGTAAATAAGAAAAACAAATAAATGTTTGTGGACGCTGCTGTGTGGCAATTGGTTGCATAAACAGAACACAACAGACCCCTCTGCTGAGTCATCGATATTTGTGTTTTCTTTAATTTCAATTATTTCATACTATATTAGTTGTGCACACGCTTAGAAACCGCAGACAACGTTCCACGCGTCGCCTTTCAACTTGCAACTTGAAACTCGTTTCTTTTCTTTTGTTGTTGCACTTTTGCAGCTGCCGTCGAGGTTCATCCTCGTTCTGGTCTTAAATCAAACTCGCGCACGTACTGAAAACTGAAAGCGAAAAAGCAGCGACTGCGATCGTTACCTGCCTGTTGCTCAGATTCAACTGAAACTGGAAATCGTTCAGGCAGCAGCAGCAACAGCAGCAGTAGCAGATCGGGCATTCTCTGTCCATGCTGCCTTAAGCTGGATATCGCTGGCCGTTCCCACAAGCTGGATACGACTGCCACTGCCCCTGCCCCCCTCCCTTTTCGCTACAATCGACGAGCACCCAAAACCGGTCGTTGGCCGAATTTGAGACTGTGGCACATTGTTTATGCCATTGCTTTAATATTTATGTGTGGCAGCTGTCTCTGTTTCTGCCTCCAAATGCAGTTATGGCCAGCGGAAATGCTAGTCGTGATTAGCTCGTTAAACGATCTTTTGCAGGCATTTCCGGTGCGTGTGCCTGGCTTTGCGGCAACTTTGAAGCGTGCATAAAAACTAATAGATTTGTAATTAAGAACAAACATTTATACGAGCTACACACACACTTTTCGTGCACCTATCTCATATGCATATAGTAATCAATCGCCGAGGAGAACGCCGCAAAGCCCAAGCCGCCAATGATGCCAGCCTTAATGCCCGCTCGCAGGCCAATCAGGCCGCCTGTAATGCCGCCCGCATAGGTGCCGTTTCGCCAGTCGGTGACGCCGCGTTTCTAGCCAAAAGAGACGCCAGTTAGATAAACAATTGGACAATTGATATGCACAATCACTTACACTTTCTATGGTGCATTCGACAATGGAGAATACAGCGCCAATAAGGGCAAAGTTCTTAGCATACGAATGGGTTGTGGAGCGCATCTCGCGGAATACTTCGCGCGCCGTCTGTTTCTTTTCATTTGCGAATGGATCAGCCATATTCGGATTAACGGAGGCGCTGAACAGGCCCAAAGCCGCGCCCAATCCATAGCCTGCAAGAATATACACATGTAAATTGTTTGTGCAGCAAAATGTTGTCAAGACTTACCCATAACGCAGGCCATGGCGCTTTTGAAGCCGCAACTTTCCACAGCTGTTTCAATGAGCTTCTCCTCGTTTGTTTTAATTTGGACCGGCCCATTACTTTTGGGTATTACAATATTCTCACGATACCTGTTCAGGTTGCCCACAAAATGCATGGCCATTCTGTCTAGCTCGGCGGGGTCCAAGACGCGCGGCTTGGCGGCCTCGCCGGTTTTGGGATCAGCGTTGGGCATCACCGACATGGTTTGCCTTATAGTTTATAATTAGTTGTTCATACAGTTTTTAATTAAAAAATAGTAATTTGAAAGACGTGTGAATGAAATCTGAATTGTTATCACATCGCAGGCAGCAGCTGTTGCGTCAGAGTTGTCAGAGTCAGCAAACTGTTTCGATAACACATTTATCGATTGTACTCAATTCAACGATTCGTCAATTTTAATTTAAATTGTAACAAGTAGTCTTGTTCCCTTTAATAATTTCCCCTCAACAGAAAGTTTTACAGTATTTGGTTTATTAATGGACTTGAATCTACTTAAATATTAAATTTTATTGCTATCACAAGTTGATTATACACATACATATACCAAAAGGGAAAATATAGAGAAATAATTAAAATTGTCTGAAATGTTTCGAGACCTAATTAAAAGCATAGATCAGCAAAAGGATGACACAGAAGCCTATTACCGCGCCCAAAATAAGCGAATCTCGTCGTTTTTTGATATTAATGCGCTGTATAAGACTGCAAGAGAATATAAAAAATTTTTAATTGGTATCATACACAAATTAATCACATTTATTTCCTTACCTTGATATTAATGGAAAACGATTGGAAATGTCGTTGAACCGCGTCTGCAGCCGCTTGAAGGCCTGTCGCTGTGCATGCAGGTTGTCTCGCGTCTCGATGGCAATGTTTATCTGATCATTGACCATGTTACTGGAGCTGCTCAAGTGACCGCTCTCCTTCATATACATCTCACGACGACTGAGTCCAGAAATTGATGGACTCCCACTAGTAGCTAGGCCAGAGCCGCGTAGCAGCTCCTCTCGCTCGATGCGCATGGTGTGGTTGGCGCAGATCTTGTTGAATTCCTGTCTGTAGCCCTGGAGTATTTCCCTGTGCCGCTGCAACGTGTGCATGGCCGCACTTCCCGTAGCGGGCAGCTCCGACATGGACTCATTGAGCGTCGACAACTGCAGGTGCACCCAATTCGGGTTAATAATGTCATCTGTCGATAATCTGTGATGCGACTTACCTTTTCGAGCATTTGCTCTATTTCGGCAGACAGCGAGTCGAATACATGTTCGCCCAGCAGAGGTGATGTGTCAGCAGCGCTGCTGTTGCTGCTTAGGCCACTGCTGCCAGCTCCAATTTTGCTGAACGCCACAAGTTTGAGGTCAATTTCATTTTCCAGGGTGCGCGCCTGCTTGCGTAGCACTGGGCATATAGCATATCGATAAATGGTATCAGCAGACACAAGCACGTGAACATATTAATACAAATATTTACCGTCATAGCTGGAGCCAACCATTTGCATTTGATTAGAATATTATTTTACTTGCAGGCACAACAATAAAACACAGCTAGAGCTGATGTCAGGGCTGCATGAAAAAGTCATATGGTATTTTTCATTAACGAAATAAAAGAATGCATACCTTTAGCTGCATTAATTGTGTGTTTCTGTAAACTCTAAAGAGTTGTTTAATTAAGCAATATATTTTTGTTTATAAGAAAGAAAAAAAAAAAAAAAAAGAAAGCATTAGAAGAACAAATTAGTGCAGTATTTTAGTGTTTTTAAAATTGATATCGATAGTTCAATATAGACATCATATGTTCACTAATTGTACGCGTTTTTTTGCCGGCAAAACGTCGAATTTATGAGCTCCTAATTTTGATAAATAAAAGCACAATGTCGCAGGCCCAAACGAATAGTGACACACGTGTGCCTGATGAGGAGAGTGATCTGCTGCAAATTAAGCCGCTGTAAGTAGCTAACAACTGTTTCAAGTGACCGAAGACATAAAATTTTCTCTTGCAGTGGAGCTGGTCAGGAAGTGGGGCGCTCCTGCATCATGCTGGAGTTCAAGGGCAAAAAGATAATGCTAGACTGTGGCATACATCCAGGTCTGTCCGGCATGGATGCGCTGCCCTATGTGGATTTGATAGAAGCTGACGAAATTGATTTGCTGTTTATATCACAGTGCGTAACGACTTTTGTTTGTTTTGGCCAACATATAGATATATTTGGACTCTTATTCTTTTAGTTTCCACTTGGATCACTGCGGCGCTCTGCCCTGGTTCCTCATGAAGACCAGCTTTCGTGGACGCTGCTTTATGACACACGCCACCAAAGCCATTTACCGCTGGATGCTCTCAGATTACATTAAAATCAGCAATATATCCACAGAGCAAATGCTCTATACGGAAGCTGATCTGGAGGCTTCCATGGAGAAAATCGAGACAATCAATTTTCACGAGGAGCGCGATGTCATGGGTGTACGCTTTTGCGCTTATAACGCTGGTCATGTGCTCGGCGCAGCTATGTTTATGATTGAAATCGCAGGCATCAAAATTCTGTATACGGGCGACTTTTCGCGTCAGGAGGATCGTCATTTGATGGCCGCCGAGGTGCCGCCTAAGAAACCCGATGTACTGATTACCGAATCTACCTACGGCACTCACATACACGAAAAGCGTGAAGATCGTGAGAGTCGCTTCACAACGCTGGTTCAGAAGATTGTGATGCAGGGCGGCCGCTGCCTCATTCCGGTGTTTGCCTTGGGTCGAGCTCAAGAGCTGTTGTTGATATTGGATGAGTTCTGGTCACAGAATCCCGATTTGCACGAGATACCCATCTACTATGCTTCCTCGCTGGCCAAGAAGTGCATGGCCGTCTACCAGACTTATATCAATGCCATGAACGATCGCATACGTCGCCAGATTGCCGTGAACAATCCATTTGTCTTTCGTCACATTTCCAATCTGAAGGGCATCGATCACTTTGATGATATTGGACCTTGTGTGATCATGGCTTCGCCGGGTATGATGCAGTCGGGCCTTTCGCGTGAGCTCTTCGAGAGCTGGTGCACAGATCCCAAGAATGGTGTCATTATAGCCGGTTACTGTGTGGAGGGCACACTGGCCAAGACCATATTGTCCGAGCCAGAGGAGATTACAACGCTTTCTGGCCAAAAACTGCCACTAAATATGTCCGTTGACTACATATCCTTCTCGGCACACACAGATTACCAACAGACTAGCGAATTTATACGCATGTTGCGACCCAATCACGTGGTGCTCGTCCATGGCGAACAAAATGAAATGTCTCGCCTGAAGCTGGCGCTGCAGCGTGAATATGAAGCAGATGCCAGCACGGATATAAAATTCTATAATCCCCGCAATACGCACGCCGTCGATCTCTATTTCCGTGGTGAGAAAACGGCCAAGGTGATGGGCCATCTGGCAGCTAAGAAGCCGGAGGTGGGCAGCAAACTCTCTGGCGTGCTGGTCAAGCGCGATTTCAAGTACCATCTGCTGGCACCCTCCGATCTTGGCAGTAAGTATTATATATTAATCGTGTAGTTGCTCTGTGATTATCTTTCTCTATTTCCGCTTTATTTAGAGTATACGGACATGAGCATGTCTGTAGTCACGCAGCGTCAATCGATTCCCTGGACTAGTTCCCTGGCCACACTACAACTCCTGCTGGATCGCATCGGAGCTGGTTGTGTAGAGGTTGTCGAGCCGGAGCGCAAGCTGCGCGTTTTCAATTGCGTCGAACTGACTGTGGAGCAGAAGATCATTGTCATGGAATGGCATGCGACGCATGTGAACGATGTCTACGCAGATGCTGTGCTGGCCTGCCTCATGCAGTCCGAGCTGGGCGGCACAAATATCAAGGGTGCCACCAAGCAAACTAAATCAGAGGAATCTCGTTTCCGCGAATGCCTCATTGAGACGCTGCAGGACACCTTCGGCGACAGCTGTGTGCCCAAGATGTTCAAGGGTGATCTGCTGCCGGTTATAGTCAGCGGCAAGCATGCTGAAATTAATCTAGATACATTGGTAAGAATTGTTTAGAGGTGCGAATCTGCTGCTATTCATACCATCTCAAACTGTCCCCTATTACAGACTGTGCAATGTGCCGAGGATGAGGTGCTGAGGCAAATGCTAAACACCACCGTGCAGAAACTACACCAAACACTGGTGTCTGCTTATTGATGTTGTGAACCCAACCCAATTTTAAGCTGCATGTGAATTCTCTTTATTAATCTTTAATTATAAGTTTCCAATTCAAATATTGTAAATTAAAGCTCGAGATTTATTTATTTAGCGTGCAGTTCTGGTCTTTGCTATCTGCTCCTTGAGCACCAGAATGCTGGCACGTTGCTCAGGTGGCAGCTGGGCAATTTGATCGTCAGATAATTGCAGCACCTGCATAATCAATGCGGCCTTCTCCTGGTCAGACGCATCCGACGGCAAAACGCCGTGTGCGCCCAGGCGACTTTGCAGCTGTAGTGCCGCCGACTGCTGCTGCTGCGTCACAGGCTGCACCTGCGGAGGCGGCTGCTGCTGTACTGGAACGGGCGGCATAGCGCCACGGAGACGCGGATCCATTGGACGTTGTCGCGGATCGCTTGGGTATGGAATGGGTGCGGCAGGCGGTCCCTGCTGCGGCTGTGGTTGCATTTGGGCGCGAGTGCGTGGATCCATAAGTGGCGGTGGCACTGGATTGGGCAGAGGACCAGGCACCTGTCGCATGTCCTGGTCCATATTGCGCGCAATCATACGCGGATCCATGTTGACCGGCCCACCGGGCACCATGCGCAAATCAATGTCATTCGAATGCATATTATTAAAGTTCGGCCCGGGCACGGGCATGGGCTGCATCGGTCCAGCGCCCCCAACAGCCGACTGTGTGGGAGGCTGCTGTTGAGGCGGGGGTTGCTGCTGCTGCTGCGGCGCTGACCCCATGGGCATGGCACCTGAATTGGCATGCGGATTACCACCCAAAACAGGCGGCATTTGGTTGGCCTTAAAGAGCATGCCTAGCGCCTGCTGCGGATCGACGATTCGCATCACCACCATGGCTTGCAGCAACGCATAGGCCAATTGCGGGTTCAGCATGAGCATTTGTCGAGCCTCTGACGGATTGCTCACAATGCACAGTTTCATTTGCTTCATAAGCTCGTACATCTGCTCCGGCGGCAGGGACGCAACTGTTTTGGTAATTAGCTCGGGCGCATCATCCGGGTCGCAAGGTTCGCCATACGGATTCTCCACCTGTGGCCCCTGGAGCAGCTGTTGCATCTCCATGCGCGATTTCTCTGTACATGCATTGTCGACACGCAAAGTTCGCCCGCCAATTTCATAGCCATTGAGATTGCGCATAGCACTCAGCGCAGTCTCCTGATCCTTGTATTCGCAGAATCCAAAGCCCTTGGGTTTGCCGCTCTCGCGATCAAACACAAGTCTATAAAAGGCACGTAGTGAGACATAACACATTATCCACATGGCACACAAGTGCCGTTGGACTTACTTTAGTGATAGCACCGGGCCGACTTCACTGAAAATTTCCTTAAGCTTCTCCTCAGTGGCTTCGTAGGGTATGTTTCCAACAAACACGGACCTCATGGATTTGTCCATAATACTCTGCTCTTGTGCTTTATCTGCCATTTTGTTATTACTTATTTGCCTTTCACTAGTTAAAACAATTAAATAGTTAAGTCTATTCCAAATGCGAGTCGCCACAGTCGGCAACAAAATTTCCCTATGATGCAGCCACACAGAGTTGCTCCGTGAGTCAAAGTGTTGGCAAATGTTGAAACGATGCCATCATAAGTTTTACAACACTCTAACGCCTGGTGTTGTAATTTTTCGTTTTGTCGCAAGGTGAAATCGAAATGACGGCTATTAAATAGTGCAAAGTAAATTTAAATCACTAAAAATATCACCTAATTGTAGCTTATAAAGGCGTGCATCAGTTTTGCATAAATGCCCCAAAGAAAATCTATACAAAGTGCATGAAATACGTGATTGAAAATTTACTTTGTGTGTAGCACACACACGCACACACATGGAGATAAACGCAGCAATGGCCTCGCACTCGCATTCGAAGCATATATATAAAAGCTCAGTTGTATATTGAAGAAGGAGCGCACAAAGCAAAAGACGAGAAGAAAGATTTCTGTGTCATTGAACGAGGCGAAGAGGCGACGACCAGACCAAGACCAAGGAGCCACTAACCGCAACATAGCAATTACATACAATAATACATATATAATAACAGCTGCAGGTGACCAACTCTTCAAGGATACTACTGCCCCATCCCCTTATGTTCATCGAAGAAAACTTGCCCTTGCCCTCAACGAACACACACATACACACGTTACGATCGATATTGACGCCGCCTGTTTATAAAAGTTTTTATTGAACGAATGTATCATACAAATGCAATTGCAATTAATTTACAATTAGTGCTCATTAAACATTGTTCTCGATGTGTACAAAAGCGTCGCCAAGTGCGGGTGTGTGTGTGTCTGTCTAACGTCTCTCCTTGAATGAATTCAAAAGAGAATCGAGAAAATTAAAGAAACACAAAGCGGAAATACTCTGAAATTGTGTCTACCTTTCGTGCGTGTGTGTGTGTGTGCAAGTGTAGTCAACGATAGTGCGTTGTGCGTGTGGGGAAAATCAACGCAACAGAAGACAACGCTGGCATAGCTGCCCGCAGTTCGGAATCCTACTCAAGATCATACTGACACACACATCTGCAAAAGCAGATCCAGAAGCAGCGAAGGTATGTAGAAATTATTGTTCAAGAGTTTTTTACAATGAATGTATGTATGTACTCATCAGAAGTATCGATGTTATGTGTTTGTATGTATGTGCTCACTCACGCACTTTTGATTTTTATGTGACTTGTTCATCGTTTTGCATTGTAAGCTTCTCTCGAAGGAAAAATCAATAGCAACAGACGTAGACATTTGCTGCTGCTTTTATTTTTGTGCGGCCCCAGTACAACACAACCCTTATACCCTTTGTATCAATATAGCAGATACAACAAACATATTTAGCAAAAATAAAACAAAAATTAGTCGGTGTGGATGTGCCTAAAAAAACTACGCAAAAAAAGCTGACCATTCCTAGCAGCATTGCCAGTGCTCTACAACAATGCAGCGCTAGAGCACACTTGTATATACACACATGCCTGTATATGTAGAATTGAGAACTTGTGACGAATATCGATATTCTCAGTGAAAATTTAGATCAGAGTAGGTAATTTTTAAATTCACAATAAATATCCCTGCATTAAAAATAGTTGATTAACTCAAATTGATCGATAACGAGCTTATACACAATGAAAAATCATTTGTGTTTTGCAAAGCATGCCAGAAAATTAGATTTGTTTATACTGAGCAGCTGTTTATTGTAACAGCTGGAATTTTTGAACAAATGGGATTTATGTGTACATGGCTTAAAAAATGTGAAATGCAATTTTTCTTCATTTTGTAAGGCTGCAACTAAGCAATGCATATGTTTATATATGCATATATATATATATCGATTTATAACAATAATAGTGATAAGCGAATACCAGATACATAATTCGCTTAGAGAATTTGTTTGTAAACATTTTTAAACTGGTTTTTATCATTTCAATGAATAATCCTGTTGTTTATGTCAAAATCTACGTCCATATAATGACAACAATCTCTATTTATGCAAAAATGAATTGATTATATATTTGCATGCCTATTTCATGACTTATTGATTGCGAATTCATGATTCTCAATTGCAAGCATAAACCATTTGAAAATCACATTCACTGATATTTTGTTCATACTGAAGTCACAGTATTCGCTGATTCATTGCAATTATTGCTCATGCCCAGCAAATAACTCATCATTATCGCGATGTTGCCGTGTGCCCATCGTCCTCGTAGTGTTGCGTATAACACACAAGTTGAATGCACAGAAAAAGCTGTTCCAAAAGTTGTTGTTGGCCCAACTGGGCATTCCATTCCATTCCATTTGCACTTTGCGCTCCTTTCCTCTACTGCAGCAAGCAGTTCAAAGGCGGATGAAGCTTTAACCGATGCTGTTGTTGCCTTCCGTTCCCCGTTCCCATGCACACGCATACATGCTCAGCTGCATAATGGGTACTAAAATACATGTGCATATTTCAGTTTATTTGTTGTTTTTGATTTCACTGCCTGCCACATACGTCCTTTGTTTAGCCGTTTTTCTCACTTGGCATTGACTTTTTTTGCTGCTCTTTATCTCTCTCAACCATTGCGAAAGCTTTCGCTCTTGCTTGCCAGTGCAATAATATATTGCACGTTTCCGCAGATTAGGTCGCAACGATCCGGGGTTTGAGCGGTGCAGCGCATTCTTTGCGTTGCCATATCAGTTGGATATCGGTATCAGCTTACGGGAATTATTATCGAGTTTCGTTTTTCAGCACATAAATATGTATATTTATATATGTATCTGGTAATCACTTACAAATATTTTTCTGTTCACTTGCAGCGCCGCTCAAGGATTGAGCAAAATGGCCGCCACACGAAAAACAGCAGCACAAGTCACCGTTTTATGACTCTAAACTGATATCGAGAGAGCGAGAGAGAGAGAGAGCGTCAGAGTGTGCAGCAGCAGCTGCATCAGCCGTACGTAGCTTGATTAACCAGTGGGCGAGTTAGCAGAAAATCGCCATCATGGTGGACTGTGTGCAGTGCCCCGTGTGCACATTGTATCTGCATGCGGGCATGAATCTCTCCGATCATTTGGAGACACATCCCAAGGAGCAGGTCATCAAGGCTCTGGTGCAAATGACCATAGCTGGCAACAATGGCATGGGCAGCGCGCTGGCTGCAGCTGTGCTCTCCGGCAGCGCCGCGGCAATAGATGGTGGCGCTGCATCCAGCTCATCCTCATCATCATCATCATCATCATCATCATCATCATCATCATCAACGACGGCGGCTGATGTGAAACCAGTTGTGCTAGACGCAGCACCTGCACCAATAACATCAACAGCATCAACAGCATCCAAGTCAACAGCACCCAAAGCTGCATTGCCTAGCAGCAGCAACAACAATAGCAACAAATTGAGCAATCCACCGATTAAGGCAGTTAAAAGCGCGCCACCCACGACTGAGGCGCCAGCCAACACATCCAATACACCCACCACTAGCAGCATGAGCGCCATCTATTCCGACTATCGCTATGAGCAGCAGCCGCAGCACCAGCAGGCGACGCTGCACGGCTTTTCACGAGGTACGACCACGCTGTTAATACCGCAAGCGCCACAACAGCAGCATCAGTATCTGGCCAGCCAGCAGCACTTTGCCCACCATCAGCAGCAGCAGCAACAGACGGCCATGAAGTACACCTATGCAGCAGCGCTTCCACCGCCGCCGCCGCCACTGCAGGTAAGTGATCCACCATGAGATTTACATGCCAAAAAACGTACTTTAATACTTTGATTCGTCTCATGCAGCTCTTTGCACAGCAGGCGACGTCAACGCAGTCGCATCAGAAGCCACCACCCGCCTATGGCGCCGCCATCAGTCAAATTCGATCTCAGCACAACCAAAACAAACAGCAACAAACACAACAACAACAACAACAACAACAACAACAACAACAACAACAACAACAACAACAGCAACAACAACAACAACACATGAGCGTACAACACACCGTTAACCTTGCACCACCGAGTGGCAAACACGGCAAAGTCCATACGGATATCTTCTTGAATCCACCGCCTCCACCAGCGCCACAGCTCACGATTCCGTCAACGTCGTCGTCGTCATTGTCAAGACTGCAACATGCACAACAGCACCAACAATCTCTTGCAGCCGGCAGCTATGCAGCTGCCAACTGCGCTAGCTCCTCTGCGACTATGATGTCATCCAGCTCCGTCGGACGAGCCAGCAGCTGTCGCCAAACAAGCAACTCGCCTTTTGGTGCGCTCTTAAATGCCGCAGCGCAGGCCGCCTGCGCCTCGCCCGTTACCTCCAGTGCGTCTGTGCTGCGCTATGCCGAGTCACCAGTGGCCCACTATCTAGAGCGAGAGAATGGCGATTTTATAGTCCAGGAGACGCCCAAGCACATTGTGGAGTGCGTCGAGAAGGATGACGGCGAGTTCTCTGTGATTGAGCGCATCTATCAGTCGCCACCCAGCGTGCTGCACATACACGACGATGACGACGACGAAGAGGACGATGAAGATGACAAGGGGTAAGGCATTGACTCTACTTCTTACTCTTGCCTAGTTGCTTTAATTTTAAGCTAATGACAGTTTACGGGTTAACGGTTCAAATTAATGCATCGCCTTAAGGTTCAGTTCGGGAAACAGGTTTTTACATCGAGCTTTGGCTCCTTCAATTTCATTTAATTTCCAAAAGAACTATTTAACGTTAATCAAAAATAATTAATTAGTGTTAAACTGTTGTTATTTATTGAAACAATTAAATTTGTCGTATTTAGAAAACTTGTTTAGATTAGCTTAAAACTTATCCAATAATATTTTCAATAGCCAACAAACAAAAAAGAAAACGTTTGAAGCAATCCATTTAAAAATGTCATCACTTTTGGCGCAAGAAAGTGTGTTATTTACTCTACTATTGGCTCTGGGTCTATGCGGGATACCTTTAAAGCTCCTATTAAAGTGTAAATTTCTGTTTTCCAGCTGGAACAGCGATGATGAGGATCACATGAAGGTGGAAGATCATGTAGAGGATGGCGACGACGAGCACGAGGATAGCCGAAGCAGAGTTGCACCCAAAACCACAACGAAAAAGTCACGCAAGACAAAAGCAAATGGCAGAAAGCACAAACGCGCCAGCAAGCATCAGCCGGAAGATGAGGACGACTTTATGAGTCTTGGCAGCAGCTGTGCCGAAAGTGAACACCAGGCAGAGCAGCAGCAGGCGCAGGTGCAGCTGTCGCTTGCGTCCTCTTCGCCAGTTCAACTTAGCACGGCGCCTTCGACGAGCAGTGGAGCAGCTGCTGGTGCTGCTGCCACCGCGTCCCCCTCCCCCACCTCTTCTGGCAGTGCCAACTCGACGCCCAGCGGCTCCACAAAGTCCAAAAAGAATCGCGTGACGGTACTCAGCGATGTGCCGCTCAACATGAACGAGTATTTGGATCTGGTGGGCAACATTGTGGCTTCGGGTCGCATTGGTGCAGCTCGTCCGTTTGCTGCAGTGGCGCCCATACCGTTGGTCAAGGTGGAAAAGGAGGAGCCAATGGACGACTACGACACCGTACACGCTGAAATGGAGCAGGCAGTGGAGCAAAAGCCCAGCGTTGAACATGCCAGTGGCAGCAGCAGCAACAGCAGCAGCAGTGGCCACGGCACCACAAGCGTCATACGCATGGCAGCCAGCACAAGCACCAGCAGCGGCACAAACGTTGCTAACGAGGATCTCACACAGCCGCCGCCAATGAAAGTGGAAGTGGAGCCAACGATGCTACTGCCGCAACGCTTCTCAGCTCCGGCGCAGCAGCGTGGACCCAAGAAATTAGTCATCAAGCCAAAGGCCACAGCGACGGCAACGACAAAAAAGACTGAGAACAACGCTGCCGAAACAGCCAGCATATCAAAGGCTTCCACAGAGCTGGTGCAGGTGAAGAGCGAGAATGTGGAGGCAGCCGTAACAACAAGCGGCAGCATACTAGAAAAGCATCTGACTACCAGCTATGCGGCACAGCAGCAGGCGCGCAAACACTCTGCAGTCAACGATGATGATGCGCGCGTGCTGCTCGAGTTTGCCAACTCGAAGCAACTGCCGCTAGCGGGGAACAGCAACCAGACTACGTTTGTGGTAAATGCGGCCAGCTTTGCCTCGGCGGGCTCCGTATTTGCCAGCGGCAGCGCGAAGAAGTCAAGCAAGCCGGGCGACGAGTACATTCTGCCTGATGATAACAATCTGGAGGTGGATGAAATTGTGATATCCTCCTCGTCATCCTATGCCTCTAATTCGCAGCAGCAACAATTGCACCAGTTGCAGCGGCAGTCGCAGTCGCAACCAGCCCAGCAAAGCATGCAGCAGTCGCAGCAGCCGTCCGCCTTTACAGATTTCAATTTTCTGTATCAAAATGCAACAGCAACAACAGCGGCAGCAGCAGCAGCAGCGGCAACTGCGGCGGCAGCCTCCCACTTTGCAGAATTTGGCATACATCAAGAGCAAGAGCAGCAGGAGCAGCAGGACCAGCTATTGCAGCATCATCCACAGCATGGCTCTAGCGAGGCCACCAATGCCGCCACGCTGGCCTCCTCTTCTAGCAATTCATCGGTAATGGATCAGGATTGCTCCATGAATGCCACGTTTCGCTTGGGCAAGCAACAATCCACATTGGCTGGCTGGTATCAGCCGCAGCAGCAGCAGCCACAGGCAAGCACCTCGCACAGCTCCCATGTGGAACAGTCGAGCCATTTTATTGCCGCACTCGCAGCCGTTGACTGCTGCAACAGTGTGGCGGGCGTTGATAGCGATGTCAAGTATTTAGATCTGGATACCTGCAAGCGGGAACAGTTAAGCAACAGCAGCAGCCATTTGCCCTCTGTATCCGCATCGACAACATCCTCATCATTTGCGGCCGCCGCCACGGAGAGCAGTCTGGTTAGTGGCTTGGGCCTAAACATACGCACCGATGAGAAAATGCCCGCCAAGGGTGAAATCTCCGAGCAGGAAAGCAACTGCGATATTGAGAACTCCTGGAGTCAATCGGTAGACACACCGCATCCAAGCTTAGTCGTTTGCACTTATCATTAACTAACTTCTCGTATCTTTTGCAGATGTATGGTGACATATCACAGCGCTATTTTAGAAATCAGTTTACAGATGGGTATCATCAGCAGCTGGCCGATTGGCGTCACGATTCCTATCCGCCGCAGGACCTCAGTGGCCAACAGCAGCAGCAGCAGCCCCAGCGTGAGCCAAAGCGGTGGGTATTTGACTACGCAAGGACTGTTTTATATTTGTTAAAAATCTCTTCTGTCCACTTTCCAGCTTTGATTTCAACGCTGTCGCCTCGGAGTACGCGCAGTCGGGCGAGCTGGACGCCTCCCCGAGCTCAAATAGACACAATCATTTGTTAGATGCGCAGCCCACTACTTCCTCGTCGTCATCGGCTTTGCTGGCTGGTCCACCAATAGCCTCGACGTCACGTGCTGCTGCCGAAGCGGAGGCTGTCGCTGCAGCATTGGCGCAGCGAAAGCCACCGCGTCGCAAGATCTACAAGTGTCCGCACTGTGTGGTCATCTTTGAGAAGCTGAAGGAGCGCAATGCGCACATGATTGGCGAACACAACTATGTGCGCCAGAATCGACGACTCATCTGCACGCAGCCGCAGGTAAATGCCACAATGCTGGCACAGCCGCCGGCTCAGGAGCAGCAACAGCAGCGCCAGCAGCAAGTCCTGCTGCAGTCTGTGGGGCAAAGCAATGGCGATGTTGTACATGAGGATTCCAAGGATGGTATTGTAAAAATCAAGCAGGAACACTGCCAGGATAAGCAGGATTCATCGGAGCAGCTACTTGGCCAAATGGATATACCCGATGTCAAGGATGCTGGCCTGCTAGATGCCAGCGCTGATAATGGTCGCGATGCGGACATGAAGCCACCAGCCAATGTCTCAGAGCTGGACGAGAAGCCAGCCATAGCGCCGTTAGCCATGACGACACCAGCTGCCAAGCTGGCTGCTCTATATCGCATGCTCATTGCCTACAATGAGTCCAAGCTGGGTCAGGAACGCAACAATCTCAGCGAGCTGGAGCAAAAGGCCATGGAGAAATCCATATTCCTCTGTTATGTGTGCCGCACCGATTTCCCCTCCGTAAAGCTGTACGATGCACATTTGACAGAGCATCCCGCTGAGTGTTTCACCTGTGGCAAGAAATTCTATCGTTGGAAGAACTTTTCGCTGCATTTGAAAAGGCATCTAGGCTGGAAGGAGTTCGGCTGTTATGTCTGCGACAAGAAGTTTGTGGTGCGCAGCGCGCTAGTGGAGCATATGCGCATGCATACGGGCCAGACGCCGCTCAAGTGCAAGATATGCGGTAAGTTGTTGAAAGTAGAGAGTCTGGGATAATTAGTTAAGCATCCATTCTTCTTGTTCTTAGGCAAAAAGTTCAAACGTTATTCGAACTTGACACAGCATCGCAAGCGTCACACCAAAATGATGGTGCGCAAGAAGGAGTACGTGTGCCATTGTGGCGAGGTGCTGCCCTCCAAGGCGCGCTTCCTGTGGCACAAGGAGACCCACGACTTGAAGCCCAAGTGCTGTCCGTATTGCTGCGATCGTTTCGTGCATGCCAATTCGCTGCGGAGGCACATTCGACTGGCCCATTCGGATAAGTTTGACTATGCCGAGCCGATGGAGTGTCCCATGTGCAAGCAGATCTTTGCCAAGACCTCCATCAAAGCTCACATGGCTACACATTCGACAGATCCGCAATACGATTGCGCCATATGCAACAAGAGCTTCTCTACCAAATGGAATCTGAAGATACATTCGTGGGTGCATGCGAATCGCACGGCCAAACCGTTCAAGTGCGAATACTGCCCCAAGGCGTTCGTTCGCGAGCTGGACTTCAAGAACCATATGAATGCCCATAAACAGATCAAGCCATACACCTGCGAGTATTGCGGCTGCAAGTTTATACGTAAATACAATTATATGCGGCATCGACGGGAGCATCATGGCAACAAGAAGTTCACCTGCGACCAGTGCGATAAGTCTTTTCATCGTCATTATTATCTGATCGAGCATCGGCGCATCCACACCGGCGAGCGTCCCTTCCACTGCACCATCTGCGGCAAGAGTTCGACGACAAAGACCAATCACAATAAGCATCTGAAGATACATCATTCGCGGGATCCTTTTACCGTCGAGGTTTAAATCAATTTACTAACGACTAATCGACTTATCTAAAGTTAAATTCATTAATTAGCTAGCTGTTTATGGCTCTTCTCTGTGTATGTATGTGGGTGTGTGTATGTTGTACGTGTGTGTTAACAAAAACAAACTAGTATTACCTATTGAAACTATATATACATACATATACGTATTGTATACATATGCGATTGCCAATTCTTGATAAACAACAACAAACATGAAATCAATTTATCATAATAATATTAATAACATTTTACTAATCGTACATTTGAATGTGGTTTAAGAGACTTAGCTAAATGTGAAAGTGTTAACACCCCCTTTGATCCCACCCTCTGCTCCTTTCCACCACACACCCACACGCACATATACACTCACACACACACTTTAAACACAAATATTTTAAAAGGAATTGCTTTAATTTTTGTTTAGTTATAAACATAATTACAATTAGTGAAATGACATGCCTAGTTCAGTGCAATATTCATTATTATCATCATTTAACTTTACACCCTAATTTTAAAACATCTCAATTTTAGTTTAATAACAAAATTAATTTTAATCATTTGTATTTACTTATCTTATCTATATAAATATATATAAATATATATTTTTATGTTTAACTCGTTTGTAAAAGGTAACAAACAAATCTAGTTAATTTAAGTTAGCTGCAATTGGTTTAATTCTATATGAATAACATTATTCTTTTGAGTTTTCGAAACTTGAGCACATTCTAAGCCACACAAATACACACACACACCTGCACACCAACACCTAAACACATATATAGTACACAAAAAATTTGCAAGAGACCGTTTTCGAAAATGTTATATACTTTTTTCGTATTTTTTAAACCAAACAGACAAAACTGTCTACCAGAGATCGAAAGTAAACGAACACAACTGTCATATTGAATGAATATACCTAAACGTAATTACCATCTCGATGTTTCTAGAATATATATATATATATAAATATATACACATTAACATATATATATATATATATATATATATATATATATATATATATATTTGATTTTGTAGTAGTTGCAACTTCTCTAGGCTATTTTTAATAATTGTTTGCGATGGTTTCGATTATGAAGCGATTAGTTAAAATTTCTAGTTTATGAGTGAACACACAACACAGCATAAGCATTATGAGAATTAATTAAATACATTACCTTATAATATGGAAAACAAAAACAAACGAAAAACAAAACAATTTTCAAATATTTACAACTTACATACAAATTTCAACGAGAATCAATGGAAACAACAAAACATAAACAAATACAAAATAAAAATCGTTTTGTGGAAGAAATAAATGCAATTTATGGATAATTATAAATATCGTAAATACATGTTTTTGGTTGGGTATATCAATCGTATATCAGATATTTCAAATACTACATACGTTTATATTAACTTTAAATGGCCGTAATATGAACTTGTGAAGCTCCATAGAACAGATTGTATTCAAAGCAAATGCTTGGATTTCAAAGTGGGAATTTTTGAATGCTAATCGATAGGGCTGATTCGAAACGAAAAATAGGCATGTTATTCGATAATATAATTTTATTTGTTTGAAATATTCCAATTTTAAATCATTTTTGATAACTCCAAACAATAATTTTTTAAATTAAATTTTTTTTTATTTTTTTACCCTTTCCAAATAAAAAATGCATAGCCAGTCATCTTTTCTTTAATAGTTGAGGAATTTATTGAAAACGAAAAATCAAATAATATGAAAATACATATTAAAATATGTAAGCAAAAAAATAAAATTAAAGTACATATTCGAATATGTAATTAGATGAGTGCTTTAAATAATTGGTAATTGCCTCTTTTTTGGCTAATTCTGATTGCGTACATTTAATTAACATGTCATTTTATAACTATTTCAATACGAACATTCGACTGTCAATTAAGGGTTTATATAGCAGATCGGTTTTGTATTTATTCTCATAGATATCGACCTCCATCAGCTTAAAGCCGTGTCTGATGAAATCACTGGATAAGCCCGGATCCGAATCATCGTAATCGTCACTGTTGTCATGGTAATTATTCGGATAGTGAACCCGTGCAAACACCGAGGGATATTTGCATAGACATGCTTGGAGTGCCTGACGCACGGATGTGTCCGCAAAGTTTCTGTTCAATTTGATGCCATAGAGCTTGACACGGACTGATTGCTGTGGGAACATTAGCAGATGGTTGGGCATTACCTTTAGATCGTTAAAGGGCAACATTTCGGTGTCATGGAAATCGATATAGTAAACAGTCGCCTTATTGGCAGCTTGATGCAGCTCTATGATAACGGCGCGATACCATTGACTATCACGACTATAGCGGGCCAAGCACTTAGCTTTTAGCTGCACCGGATTAAGCTGGGCAGCTTCCTTGATCAATGCGCTCGTCTCCTGGGCCAAAGCAATTTCCTGCTTGGCAAATTCGGTCAGTTTTGGCGATATCTGCAGCTCCGTGGCAGACAGAACTCTGTCAATGCTGCACGTAAATTGTTTGACGCCCGTGGGCAGACATTGTGGCTTAAAGCCGCCGTCGCCGTCGTGATAGGAACGCTCCGTGGAAGTGTCCATTGGCGAGAAATGTGCGCTCTCCAACCGGTCCTGCTAAACAAACAAAACCGTGTCTTACCATCAGATTACGGCATATGGAATCAACATCAAAAATACCTTATAGCGCAGCTGAATGCGACGACGCATTTGATCCATGGCAGATATGCCCTGCGGTGGTATAAAGCTAGCCTGCTCTGTTACGGGACTAGCTGTGTGGTCATCATCATCATTGGAAATACCTTCATCGATCTTCTCGATGACGTAGTCATCCGAAAAGCCCTCGGTTGAATTTTTTTCATCCGCATCATCTGCATCGCTGTCCCCTTTCTCAAAATCGACGCTCGTTTGGAGCTTTTGTTTGGCCGCCTCCTTACAATCGAAATCGTTTTGGCAATCCAAACGCTGCACCTGCTGCATCTCTCTGCTGTCCATCATGTATTTTTTCTTAGTCGGCGGCGGCTGGGCCGTCGTATTGGCTTGTTTGCCCATCATCGGCGGCTGGTACTCGCCCAATTGTTTCAGCTCATCAAACACCTTGAAGAGCTTTAGGAGCTCTGCGCGATTCTGTTTAGATTCATGATCACTCCGGGGTGGCACGCGTACCGCCATTTCGTTGTTCAACATCATGGTGGCTATATCCATGTCGCCCACCTTGAGTTGGCATTGCGGCAGCCCGTTGACCCCTTGAGTCTCCACCACGCGCACGCTGCTCAGCTTCATGACCACAGTCTGATGCACAGTGTCCATTGTCGTCGATGTGTAATTCTTCTGCTTGGGCTGCACACCGTGGATTGCCACGCGCCAGCACAGGGAACTTAGCTGTGGGAACGGTGCATAGGGTAGCATCTGGGCCGGCTTTACCTTCTCCTCGTTACCATAGTCCACATAGTACACCTTGTGCTCCCCCTTAGGACTCAGCTTGCTCTGGACAATGCCGCGATAGAAGAGATTGTCCAAGTGGTAGACGACCACAACGGGCTGACCCACTACATAGGTGCTGGGCTTCTGTTTCTCCAGCAGGGGCTTAAAATGCTTCACCAGCAAATTGCGCATATGATGTATAAACGACTCATCGCTGGCCAGACTCAGGTATACCTCACACTGGTGATTCACATAGGTGGGTAGCGCGGTAAAAATACTTTTCTTGCATTGACGCGGCTGCAGCCAGGCCAGCGGTGGCTCAGTGCAGCCAGTTGTGGGTGCGTTGATATTTAAATCCTTGAGCAGCTCCAGTGGCGGCATTTCATCGTTATGCTCGAAATCCTGCTTGAAATATGAATCCTGCGGCAAGGGCACGGATCCTAAAATAAAAGAAGCAACAACGAAAAGTGAATTTTAAAAGGCGTGTAAAGCGTGCTGTAGTTTTGTCAGGAAGTGTGTTATGCAAAGGAGTATATATATAGGTATATATATATATATATATAGCCATGCTCTCCCGGCCATCTATTACAACGTACACCAGACTCTCAGTTTTAGAGCTATCGTCATGATACTTTGCATAGATTTGACTTTCTATTGCTTATGTCCGAATTGGCTGGATCTAAAATAATACATTTCTAGATCATATCAAATTAAATTATTTCATTGGAAATTGGGAAATAATTTCCTAAGGGAAAACCACGCTACAAATGATCTCCCAAGCTTTAGACCGAACCATCGCGAATTATTGTTGATGAAAATTTCCAATAACTTGTCAATATGAATGCATACCTGTTGTTCTGCCCACCTTTTCGAGGCAGGCTAGCAATTCGGGATCATCATCATCATCTTCCCCCTGGGAGCTACTGCGGCTACTGCTGCTGGGTAACAATTGCAGATCCTGTTGCAGCAACATCTGTGGATCCCTTAAAGCCCGATCTGTTTGTAAGAATAGCTCATTGATGTTCGTATACTTGATGCGTGCCGGTGAGAAGGGGCCACTGATTTCGGTGTGTGCGCCCCACAGAATGACACGTGTGCAACCACCATCCTTCCCATGCCCGGTGACATGCAGCGTACTGTAAGCCTGTAGCTGTGTCTTGAAGAACTCAATGACCTCCGGGGACCACTCAGCGCCATTTGGAATGATGTCGGACAGACGACAACACAAGGCGCTGTTGCTGACGCGCCCCAGATCCTCATCCATGATGGCCATGCTGTTGATAGGTACTCCCAGGGCCAGTTCGCCAATGTCGCGCAGACGCACATTGTATTTGGAGTTGGCGCCTTGGGTAGAGCCAACAATCTGGCCGCGATGCCAGAGCAGCTCCAGATCCCCCTTGGCCATGACACGCACATAGCACATATCACCCGGCTGCCAAGTTAGCTTGGGTGCATTGGTCTGGTACATTTTGTCGGCGTTTACCTGTACTGTCTTCCTTAGCTGCACATGGGCCGAGACGAAATGCGTGAGCGTTACATAGAATTCACCCGGATGCTCTACGTGGAGCACCTCGATTTGTGAGCGATTCTGTCTATCTGACGTCTTGGCAGGCATCGATGGCTCCAATTGCAACTTGGCCTCTTCAATCAATTTGCGCGTATCCGCATCTAGATGCGAGTGTCGTCCAGGCTGCGGCTTGATTACCTTGCTGCTCTCGCCACTGGACTGGCAATGACCCTGGGCCACCAGCATGGCGCCCACATTTTTTTGCTCATTGCCGCTGCGCGTGAAATGGACCGCCACGTGGGCTACCTTGTCGCGCACACAGACCACCTCCATTTGGAGTTTGGGATTCGATGTTAGCTGCTTGAACGCGTCAATTGCAGCTGGTGTCCAAGCATAGTTGTGCTCCTGC